TCGGGGTGCGACAGGGAGCAGTTATTCATAAGGAAAAAGGACTGGGGGAGGAGGAGGAGGAGGAGGAGGAGGAGGAGGAGGAGGAGGAGGAGGAGGAGGAGGAGGAGGAGGAGGAGGGGAGGAGGGGGAGGAGGGGGAGGAGGGGGAGGAGGAGGAGGACAATTGCAAACCCCAGTCCCATCAGCGATCTTGTAATGAGCCCTCCCCCCGCGCTCCCTGGTCCTAGGCCCCTGCTCAAGGAGTCGCCTTCACGGAGGGAAGTGCCCCGTGGGAAGCCAGTCCTCCTCCTCCTCCTCCTCCTCCTCCTCCTCCTCCTCCTCCTCCTCCTCCTCCCTCCTCCTCCTCCTCCTCCTCCTCCTCCTCTCCTCCTCCTCCTCCCCCTCCTCCTCCTCCTCCTCCTCCTCCTCCTCCTCCTCCTCCTCCTCCTCCTGTTGGACTCCCGTTGGACTCAGGAAGCTCCGTCACCGCGCACGAGGCTGAAGCGATGAGGTAGCAAAAATACGACAGTAACGCTACTCGGGCTGGCCCCTCGAAACCCAACCCTGAATAGACCAAACAAGGGGCACCGATCTCCCAACATACGACTTAGTGCTGGGATTGGTGCCTGCTTTCAGCTGCTGTAAAGTCCCTGCCGCATGGCGATTACCAGGCCCCTTGGGACACACAGAGCTTAGGTTGTGCGATCTGCTCTCGCCGAAGGCCCCGCAACGCGAGCATCAGGCAACACGACCACCCATCAACCACACGCTATGTGTCCTGTGGCTGTACCTGGCAACCCTTGGAGGGCCACCGCAGGGAAACACTGAAACCGCGGCACGAGACTTTCCTTTCTCGCCGCAACGCAAACACCTAAAGGCTGACTTGCCGACCGTTTCGATGGCATGGCCTTTGGGAACGGGCACCAGCTCCAGGAGACACGGCTTGGCCCTTCTAGGCCGACGAAGCCGAGCCACATCAGGAAAGGACCGAGAATTGAGCCCATCCATAACTTCGGCAATCAACCAGGCTGCTTGCCGCACTCTCGGCAGCTGCAATTCATATAACTCCCTAGTGGACGGATTTGAAGGCTGGATTTTGGCTCCTTTCTTGGCCAGCTCATCAGCCTTCTTATTCCCTCTCCATTTCCATTCCTCAATCCTACGCACACGGGGCTTATGGAGGGATAGGTGAGACTCTATTTTGCTAAGCGTCACTCTCTCGCGGCCTATGTCGTCCCCGAGGCGGAAGATGTCAACCCAAATCTCCGAGAAGGCGACTTTCTCTAGATCCTGTGTGGGCCCACCATTCCATACAGATATAACCATAGCACAGTCTGTCACCACTTCCATGGGCTCTGGACCTGCAAGCTTGAGGCACATGTAGAAGGCATAGACTTCCCCACACCCAGCCACCTGCACCGCATGTGGGAGTGGTCCGTAAGCAGACCCATGAACCCAACCTCAAAAACCATCTGGAAACACAAACACCACCGCCCATCCAGCTCTGAAAAACTGAGGTAACTCGGGGTCCAGCCCAGACCCGTCAATACACACCCGAGGCCCGAGGACGCCGCTAGGCGGCACAACATCCCACCTGTGGCCAGCAACTGTATACGGCGCTGGCCAATCCACTGGAGCCTTCAGGAGCCCTCGGGTAATGAGCAACTCTGTTTCCTCGCCTCCAGGTTCGGCCAGGAGATCATGTACATCAAGGTCCCTCCGTAGAGGGGCAGAAAAATCGCAACGCTGGAAGCGGTGTCGCGCGGTACCCAAGGCTGCACCGCACGCCTGGCAAATCGGGTCGATCACCCGCCGATCGTCGAAGAGACGGAGCTGAGTCGGATACCCTCCTGCCACCACTCCTGCTAACCCATTCGCTGCATTCTGCCTGCCCTGCTTACGTAACCTGGCCAGGACCTCCAACATCGGTTCCAACAGAGGCTTCCCATGAAGTCCAGGAACGCGAACCCCGTCCCCCAGCTCAGTGAGAAGCATATCCCGAACATTCTGATGCAAAACCATCTTCAAAGAACGCTTGCCCAACTCTAATATATCGACATGAACTCCAGAGCGCGTGCGAAAAAGATGTCAGTCTATAATCGTGCAGCCAAGCCGCTCGATCGTGAACACAACTGCTCCTGCAGGCCCACGAACATCCTGCCACCCACGAGCAGCGCGGCTGTGAAACTCTCGAAAGCTGGACAACATAATCTTGTGCGGGATCCAATTCTGACGGGCCGCTTGGCCCCACATCAAAATGGGTAAGGAGTGCGCGTCGTAAGTGGGGTCGCTCTTGGGGTCCACAGAGAGCAAGAACTCAAGGGTACGACAACGACCTTTGGGCGTCCCAAACAGTGTTTGTCCCAGCGTACTGCGTAGTTGTGCAGGTCTAGCGGTCGCCATGCCCTGCACCCTGCATCCATACGTAGCCGACGCTAGAGCTCCAGATCGGGCAACCCGAAACATACCCTTGCGTGAACTCCGAAGCCCTCGAATACGGCCAGCCCGAACCCGAAGCTTCCGAAGACGTTTAGATAAAGTCCTGGCTCCTAGAGAACCTTTCTGCATAGTCTGATCCACACCCAGGTTCCTCCCAGAATGCACCCCTTCAAAGTTCCCTCGTCTAAGCATGCGTACAATGCAAACTCTGGTGGCCGAGTGACTGCTCATCACCAGGCCCTTCGACTGGGAGATCACTAAGTGAAGCTTCTCGAGAAGCGTGCACAGCAGAAGCACAGCGCGTGGCAGCACAAACTCCACATGCCTGCTAGTACCTGCTGCCTGCGCTGTGATGTCGTCCACCACCTTATACAGCGGCACGCTAGGATACAGCTCACACACACGGTCCAATGGGGCTGTGAGCATCTCCTCCTCCTCCTCCTCCTCCTCCTCTTCCTCCTCTTCCTCCTCCTCCTCCTCTTCCTCCTCCTCCTACTCCTCCTCCTCCTCCTCCTCCTCCTCCTCCTCCTCCCCCCCCCCCTCCTCCTCCTCCTTCTCCTCTCCTCCTCCTCCTCCTCCTCCTCCTCCTCCTCCTCCTCCTCCTCCTCGTCGTTAGAAAATCCTGAACGTTGCCAGAACACCATTCCTGGGACTTCAGTGCCGCGAATCACCGTTACTGATGCGTCTTGGCGATCTTTCACGGTGCCAGAACGCCTCTCCTGGGACCTCAGCACCGCGAATCGACGCAATTGTTGCGCCCTGGCAATCCGACGACGTGCCAAAACACACTTTGGGGGACGCTGGGACGGTAACTATGAGAATTCCTGAAACCGGTGTCAGTTCTTAAAACGAATGTGCGCGGCGCTAAGGCGAGAGCCCCTTTTCGTACACGACCCGCCCTCCATCCGTGAAGCTCGTGCAAGGTTTGAGAACGAATGTGCGCGGCGCTACGGCAAGAGCACACTTTGAAACTGGACCGCCCTCCATCCGTTGAATTCTTGCGCATGCTCAAAACGAATACTGTCGGGGCGCTGAACAAGGGACCCTTTTCGTTGAGGAGGGGCTCCGTGTTCCTTAATTGTGTCGCAGTTGGCCTCAGGTTGTCCTTAGGTGTTCGATGGGAAATCGAAGTTTAACTTATGGAGGAAAGGGGCCTCGTTCCTTATTTCTCGTTCCTCAGGTCGACGCCCCGACTGTATGCGCGGCGCTTATGCGAGAGCCGCACTTTGCAAGCGAGCCGCCCTCCATCCCCGAAGCGCTCGCAAGTGTCCGAAACGACTGTAAGCGCGGCGCTCGGGCGAGGGCCACGGTTTGAGAGCGGCCCGCCCTCCGTCCGCGAAGCTCCTGCAGCTTCTCGGCTGTAGGGTCATAAGCGGTGAGGACTTGGCATCGCTCGGACTTCGGCGAGGACCATCGAGGAGCACCCTTGATCATTTGGCGAAGAAAACACGCACGAAACCGAAAAAAACACGGAATGGACGTCCGAGCGATGGCCAGAAGTGGCCCCCCTTCCATCCGTGAAGCTCTTGCAGCTTCTCAGCCTTTCGGATCATAAGCGGTGAGGAAGTCTCGGGCGATGCGCAAGGCCTGCCCTTCCGACTGGCCTCGGGGTGAGACAGGGAGCAGTCATACGTGAGGAAAAAGAGCAGGTGAGGACGAGGAGGAGGAGGAGGAGGAGGAGCGCCGAGTACGCTATCTGCTCTCAGGGTGCCTAGGCCGATGTTACGGATGAGGCGACCTCCAGAAGTGCAGTGTTCCGCGACCCACTGCATAAAGCAACTTGCCTTCGCAGGAGGTATATATTTGCAAGGACTTCTTAGGAGTTTGGGGGGTCTCATCTTGTATGGCAGAAGCCATTGCGTCCTGACTTGGTTTCGGCCATAATTCGAGAGGACAGCCTGTTGGGCTGTTCGATGGCGAATCGTTTCTTTTCTGCCAGCCTTATTGGGCAAATAAATGCTGCGACATGCTGCGAGGGAGGGTCGCAGAATCGGGGGGGACCCCCCTCGCCTGAGCATCACGTCTGCGGTGCGAAAAGTGCTCATACGGGAAACGCCCAGGGCCGCATGTGAGCGCATCCCTCACTTCTCACCCTTCAGGAGGTTAAGGGTGAAGCAGATTACAGCGACCGTTTAGGCTGCCACGGCCAATGCCGACCCTAGGGGTGACAAGGGGGACCTGCTCGCATAGACGTGGGCAATCCCACAAAGCGGGATAGAAGTTGCCGAAGGATGAGTAGATTAGCTCCTTAGCACAGCCCGTGCCCATGGGCAAGGCAGGACCATTTTGAAGGCCACTGGAGGAGGAGGAGGGAGCACAACGGTGCCAAGCACTCCGCTACGGCGGACATGTCATTCACAGAGCAGGGGGCGGGTTGATGAATCAATACACACATTTACACAGTAGGCCTGTGGAAGATTGTACGTGTCACCAGGACGAGGAGGAGGAGGATGAGGAGGAGGAGGAGGAGGACGAGGAGGAGGAGGAGGAGGAGGAGGACGAGGAGGAGGAGGACGAGGAGGAGGAGGAGGACGAGGAGGAGGACGAGGAGGGCACGAGGGACGCGGGGCCGCCTGGTGAGAGGTGCACATCGACATCTGGTCCGAGGTGGGCCGCTGCCCGCGGCGGCTGGCGTCCCGGCTGCGGGAGCTGGAGTCGCGGCGCGGGCCCCGCGCGTTCTTTCGGAGAGCGCGGACCGGAGCGGGGTCAGAGGGGGAGAGAGGGACAGGGAGGGAGAGAGGGAGAGAGAGAGAGAGAGAGAAAAAAAAAAAAGAGAGAGAGAGAGAGAAACAAAAAGAGAGAGAGAGGATATATATATATAGAGAGAGAGAGAGAGACAGACAGACAGAGGGAGAGCCAAGAGGAAGAGTTCCGCCCTCTTCCTTCTCCTCCTCCGATTCCCTGCCGTCCTCCTGCTCTCCTGCTGCTCCGCCTCGCCCTCCTGCCTCTGCTCGCTCCTCCGCCGCTCCGCCCTCCTGACGAGTATGTGTAGATGTTCTTTCCTGTTAGCTTTTTGCCTCTCGCACTGGGGCCCTCTTTGTCGTCTTGTCTCGTCGCTCTGTCGCCTCCCCTCTCGTTTCCTGTCCTCCCGCTTTGTCGTTTCTGCGCTTTGGGGTTGTCGTTGCGTCCCCCTCGGCCTCGTCTTCCTCCTCCTCTCCCTCGTTCCCTCGTCGCCCTCCAAAAAAAAACGAAATCCGTCGTAACGCTCGGCGGGTGGAAAAAACAAAAAAAAATCCCGGCAAAGCAACCTAACAGCGATATGTAGAAGCATATTTGAAAGCATTCCCCTTAAGATTCAGATGAAAATCCAGTTGTAGAATTCTGCTGTTCTCGCAGTCGTAGTCGCATTCGCGATGACAGTCGCAGCGGCAACGGCAGTCGCAGTCACAGCCTCAGCCTCAGCCTGCCTCAGCCTCAGCCTCAGCCTGCCTCAGCCTCAGCCTGCCTCAGCCTCAGCCTCAGCCTGCTTCAGCCTCAGCCTCAGTCTGCCTTCAGCCTCGGCCTCAGCCTCAGCCTGCCTCAGCCTCAGCCTGCATCAGCCTCAGCCTCAGCCTCAGCCTGCCTCAGCATCAGCCTGCCTCAGCCTCAGCCTCAGCCTCAGCTGCTTCAGCCTCAGCCTCAGCCTCAGCCTGCCTCAGGCCTCAGCCTCAGCATCAGCCTGCCTCAGCCTGCATTCAAAATGTGGCCCAGGAATGGAGTTCTGGGAACTAGAAGAACACGAAGTGGCCTACAGTTGGCTCCGGGCATTCAAAATCATGCCCAGGAATGGAGTTCTGGGAACTTGAAGAGCACGAAGTGGCCTACAGTTGGCTCCGGGCATCCAAAATGTGGCCCGGGAATGGAGTTCTGGGAAATCGAAGAGCACGAAGTGGCCTACAGTTGGCTCCGGGCATCCAAAATGTGGCCCGGGAATGGAGTTCTGGGAACTCGAAGAGCACGAAGTGGCCTACAGTTGGCTCCGGGCACTCAAAATGTAGCCCGGGAATGGAGTTCTGGGAGGTCGAAGAGCACGAAGTGTGTGATTGTTGGCAAAAAGCGAGCCCGGCTCTGTTCCCGGTTCTCCAGAATGTGTCCCGGGAATGGAGTTCTGGGAGGTCGAAGAGCACGAAGTGTGTGACTGTTGGGGAAAAACGATTCCCGTTTCTCCTCCCCGGCACCCGCCCAGACCCCCCTGAGGAGTCATGATGCTCTCTTTTGACCCTACTAGAAACCTATCAGCAAGAGCTGTTAGGTAAAAAATGGGGCCCTCTTTGCCACAGCCGGACTCGCATGTATCAACTCGTCCGGCTGGGAGAAGATCTCGGCTGTAGGAACAGGAGCAGGCGGCGTACATGTTGATCCCGAGGCGCGCGCGAGCAAGAGGGAATAGAAAGTGCGTCAACTTAATTATGAGAATTGCGCGTGCTGCCTGTGGTCTGTTACTTCCTCGCAGTCTGCCCAGCCTGTCGGGAGTTGCCGTGTGCGCTTTGCTCTGTACGGTCTGCCCTGGGCGCCCACACGACATTTTCGTTGAGAACCAGGAGGTTGTGCTGGCGAAGGCAGTGAATCCTGAGTTGGAAGGCGAGGCCAAGCAAGCATCGCGACATTTGGCCAGAGACATCGCCCCACACAACCGACTCCGTCACGCCTCGTCCACCCAGAGACGTCCAGAGCATCAGCAGCAGCAGCCGCAGCACCACCACCAGCCTTCCATCATTTCGTCGATGCTCCCGCACGTGCCCCGTGCCCCATCGCGTGCTGCATCGGTTCCTCAGTGCACCCCGCCGAGTCGAGCACACGATCTCTTTGCGCGTGCCTCGCCGCTCCGCGCGCGCGCGGCCGCCCTGGTGCAGGCGCCGCTCGCGGATGCCCTCGCCCTCGCCGGCAGCAGTGCCTCTGGGGCGGCTGGCTGCGGCCGCGATCCTGCCGTGGCGCCGCCGGCGCGCCGGGTGCGCCGCCGGGCCCGTGGAGGGGGGCCCGACGTCTCTCGCTTCCTCTGTCTGCTGCGCCTCTTCCTCGTGGCCATTCGGCCGCTGTTGGCATCTCGGCTCGCAGGAGTGAAGCTGAGGCTCACCGCATTGCCGTCGCTTGGGCCGTGGCTTCCAGCACCAGGCGTTTGCGTGTTCGCACGGCCAGGCTGAATCGAGCGGAACTCAACGACATTCCTCGAGCGATGTGTTGGCCCGAAAGCTGACTTCTAGCATTTCCGAGGAGCCAGGTTTCCCTGGGCTGGGTTTGACAGCCATGGCAAGCTTGAGACCATATTTTCGACGAAGAACCGTTGGGCGTTCATGGCCATAACGGACTTTCGAGTAAGAGGTTTTCGACAAAGTCGACCTTCGAGAAGGTTTTTGTTGGTGTTACCCGAGTCGTTATATGTGTTGATGGCACGGTATTAGCTACGCAACGCCCAGCGAGTCTTCAATTGACGCTCAACGCCATCGCCCAAGAGGCCGTGAAGTTTAGTACAAAACAGTCAAGGTATAAATATCGCCAGGAATGTTCTATCGCCAGGAATGTTCATTTCACGTTTAGACACGGGCCCATCGGCTCAGTGAGAGAAGCCGTACACTTCGGAGGGTTTCCTACTGGCGATGGGAAGGCTGCATCGGAGTTATCACGGCACATTGCAGACATGTTTGGCGGTCTCGATGCAGAAAAGAAGACGTGGCGCTATTTGCCCGTCGCGGCGGCGCGCTAAGTCTGTATATATATATATATATATACAGCACCGACATACGTGTAGATAACCATATGTGTATACACATACACATATGAAGTGCCCTTTGGATCATGCATGGGTCTTGCGTGCCGACCGTCCCTAGTCCGTTTGTGTCCACTACAGTCGGGGGTGTTTTGTCGGGGGGGCAGCGAGCTTTGCAGCAGAAGCTTCGAGATGTTGCCTGACATCTCTTCGTCGTACGTCCCGAGGACCAGCAACCATGACGTCATACACAGAGCATCGGCGCAATTACCCTCTAGGCTGCTCGCGCTGCAAAGATAATGCGAGCAGCGACGACACTTCGTCGGTCAGGACTGCATTGCGCAATCCAGACCTCATCCCGCGAAATTGGGCTACATCGCGACGGCGAGGCCGCCCGCGGCAGCAATGGACAGCTCCCATTGCGAACTTTTGAGTCAAAGCGATCCCCTGCAGGGCCCATTAGTCACGAATGGGTTTGAGGAGGAGGTTCTCTCCGTATCCGCGTTAATTTTAAGAACCAGTTCGGTTTGGGCGAAACAACACCAATACTTCGTCTCGGCTCGTGTTGAACACAAGCAACGGATCATGCCGTCGGTTCGGTCGGTTCGGTTCGGTTCCAGAACCTTTTTGTTAGAGTTTTCTGGGCAGACACATTCGTGCAGGAACAGCGGTAGTGGATCCAGCTTCTGATGCATTCCGAACGCATCCAGGTAGTCAGTGTCCAAAACAGGTCGAGCAGTTGTACAGTACTCACTCGCGCTGGGCAGTATTTGTTTGCGGATCTGTTCCGCATTTGCAATGACATTGTGCTAGTATTTTCATATCGATAGGAGGTTGCTCCAGCTGGTCCAAGGGGCCCTGACGTCATCAAACACGTTATCCACTGGGTCGGTTCAACGCGCTGTGCCACAACAAGGATCACTTCGGGCTCTGGCATGTGCATGGCAACAGACATGTAGGATCAATATGTATAGCAGCGCCGTTGCGCATTGAATTTAGCCACATATGCACAGCGCAAGAGTTGAGCACATCATCACGATTGGCGCAGGGATACGGTGGAAAAGCAGTGCATTAGGAAACAGAGTACACCCATCTCAAAGAGATCAAAAGTCCCACCTGCACAAACTCTTGAACGCATATCAACGCCGCTGTATTGGCGGACGAGATCTCTTCAGTTCGCAAATTGACCCATTCGTGGACGGGAGGGGTCCTAAACAATCGGTTGGGTTATGCGGCCATGCCATTTCCCGTTGAATGCGCGGTTGCGTGCAATTGCATGGCTTACGCTTTACATGTCCGTGTCTCGGACATGCGACAGGCATGCATTAACATGTGCTTGTACATCCGTATTCGGCCTCCTGGGTTTCTGTGGGGTGCGTGTCTGGGATGTTGTTCGGTCTGCGGGATGTGTCCCGTCCTTGATGCCGCTCGGCGGCAACAACTTTGCGATGTGCATATGTATGCTTATGAAGAGTCTCGCTTACGGTATCTTCGTGCGCGTTTCATCCAGAGATGTACCGGCCAATGGCACATTTGCTACAGAGTGAATACTGTCTGATGGGGTCAGGATGGCAGTGGCATGCGGGCATACCAGCGGGCGCTTGTGTCGTCGGTTTCCAGCGGACATTGCGAGACATTAAATGTGCAAATGAGCTAGGAGGAGTTCGATTTTTCATTTCGGCGGAAGTCTGCACGCTTTGCGATAATGCGATGCGTTTGCGCCGTCATCGGGTCCCCGACTCTACGGATGCAGGTGACAGGAGGTGGACGGGGCGAGGTCGATGTTCGTCGTTCGTTGTCGTCGGAGGAGAAGGGGGAGGAATACAATGAGGAGCAACCAGAGGGGATGTGATCACGGAGACATGGGGATTTGGATCGAAGGGTCGAAGGGAAACAGGAGGTGGCAGCGGGAGGACATGGAACGTGCAACACATGATTTAGGTTACAGAGCGCATGCGCAGCCATCTCCTGATCCTGATGTTGTTGATGTTCTCATCTCCTCTTCTCTTCTTTCCCTGCTCTTCATCCTTCAGTATGTTGCTCCTTTCTTCTTCCTTCTTTCTGTCCTGTTTTCCCCGTGCCGTGGGAAAAAGTGGGAGGGTGGGTCATGCAACCACACTTCTTTCAGTAGGCTCGCTCTGGTGACGTCGAAACCTAAGGGTACTGACCATCCCTCGTGTTGCTGCTGTGTCGTCGTCTTCCGTATCCTTTTATCCTCTGTTTCTTCGTCGGTTATGGTCGCCGTCTCTTCCTTCTTCTCGTCCTTTTCGCCCTCCTGGTGCCCCACTTTGATCTTCCCCATTGTGTTTTTTGCTTTTCATACTCTAACCTCACGTTCCCGCTTCCCCTCTACATAGTACATCGTCCTCCCAATGGTTCTCCCCGTTACTCATACTTTCATTCTCCCCTGTCCCATCTGCTCCAACAGCTCCTCCTCGTCGTCCTGCTCCTTCCCCCTCTCCCCTCCCTCCTCCCTACCCTCTCCTCTTTACCTAACAGCGAAGACTGATATGTTTCTAGTGGGCTCAAAAGAGAGCATCTTGACTCCCCAGGGGGGTCTGGGCGGATACCGTGGAGAATCCGGGGACTCCCCGGGACTCCCGAGGGGGGTCTGGGCGGGTGCCGGGGAGGATCCGGGTACTCCCCAGAACACCATTCCCGAGCCACATTTTGAATGCCCGGAGCCAATTGTAGGCCATTTGGTGTTCTACGCGTTCCCAGAACACCATTCCCAGGCCACATTTTGAATGCCCGGAGCCAACTGTAGGCCACTTCGTGTTCTTTGTCTTCCCAGAACACCATTCCCAGGCCACATTCTGAATGCCCGGAGCCAGCTGTAGACCACTTTGTGTTCTTTGTCTTCCCAGAACACCATTCCCAGGCCACATTTTGAATGCCCGGAGCCAACTGTAAGCCACTTCGCGTTCTTCGTTTTCCTAGAACACCATTCCCAGGCCACATTTTGAATGCCCGGAGCCAACTGTAGGCCACTTCGTGTTCTTCGTGTTCCCAGAACACCATTCCTGTACCATATTTTGACTGCCCGGAGCCAGCTGTGGGCAACTTCGTGATCTTCGTGTTCCCAGAACACCAGTCCTGTGCCATGTTTTGAATGCCCGAGCTGAGGCAGGCTGAGGCCGAGGCAGGCTGAGGCCGAGGCAGGCTGAGGCTGAGGCTGTGGCACGCCGAGGCAGGCTGAGGCTGAGGCTGAGGCAGGCTGAGGCTGAGGCAGGCTGAGGCTGAGGCTGACGCAGGCTGAGGCTGAGGCTGAGGCTGAGGCTGAGGCTGAGGCTGAGGCTGAGGCTGAGGCTGAGGCTGAGGCAGGCTGAGGCTGAGGCTGAGGCTGAGGCTGAGGCTGAGGCTGAGGCTGAGGCAGGCTGAGGCTGAGGCAGGCTGAGGCTGAGGAGGCTGAGGCGCTGAGGCAGGCTGAGGCTGAGGCTGAGGCTGAGGCTGAGGCTGAGGCTGAGGCTGAGGCTGAGGCTGCAGGCTGAGGCTGAGGCTGAGGCTGAGGCTGAGGCTGAAGGCTGAGGCTGAGGCTGCAGGCTGAGGCTGAGGCTGAGGCTGGCTGAGGCTGAGGCTGAGGCTGAGGCTGAGGCTGAGGCTGAGGCTGAGGCTGAGGCAGGCTGAGGCTGAGGAGGCTGAGGCAGGCTGAGGCTGAGGCTGAGGCTGAGGCAGGCTGAGGCTGAGGCTGAGGCGAGGCAAGCCGAGGCAGGCTGAGGCTGAGGCTGAGGCTGAGGCTGAGGCTGAGGCAGGCTGAGGCTGAGCCAGGCTGAGGCTGAGGCTGAGGCAGGCTGAGGCTGAGGCAGGCTGAGGCTGAGGCCGAGGCAGGCTCAGGTAGGAATCCTTAGGATTCCCTAGGAATCCTTAGGAATCCCCAGGAATCCCTAGGAATCAGGATTCCTATGGATCCCTAAGGATGCCTAAGGATGCCTTAGGAATCCCTAGGAATCCTTAGGATTCCATTGGATCCTAAAGCCGTTGCCACTGCGACTGTCATTGCGAATGCGACTGCGACTGCGAGAACAGCAGAATTCTACAACTGGATTCTCACCTGAATCTTAAGGGGAATGCTTCCAGATATGCTTATACACATCACTGTTAGGTTGCTTCGCCGGGATGATTTTATCCCCCTCCATTCCCTTTCCTCCCTCCCTCCCTCCCACCGCCCCCCACCCCCTCAGCCTCAGAGCCCACCAGCGTATGTACGCGTACGCGGGCAGTTTCCGCTGGCGGGTGCTTGAATGCGGCCATTCGTGCGCGCGGGACCGTGGACGGCGTACATGTTCACATGTCGTTACCCGTTCACATGGCGTCTTGCTCCCTCAGTCTTCCACTCCTCCGATCCCTCCTGCTCCACAATTATTGGATATGAGAACTGCTCTCCTCCTTTCTCTCTCCCCCGGAGATGACCAGGGAGTCGCCCACCCCCCTCGGCTGATCGTTTTTTAACACCGGAGTTCAAGCATTGTTTTTGTTCCTCTGTTCTTTGTTGCAACATTTGGTCGCCTTCGGTCCTTCAAGATGGTGCTGCCGCTGCAGCGTGGGTCTCATTTTCGGATCGGCGTTTTGCTCCCGTCGTTCAGACTGGCCCTCGCCCCAGCGCGGGTCACTTTTCTGGATTCGAATCCTTCCTCCTCCGCTTTCCCTTGGTCCTCCCGCGTCTCCCGCTCCCTACACTCTGGCTTCTGCTGCTGCTGTTCGTCCTCGTCCTTCCCCCTCTTCCTCCTCCTCCTCCTCCTCCTCCTCCTCCTCCTCCTCCTCTTCCTCCTCCTCCTCCTTTTCCTCGTGCTCATCCGCCACTTCCTCATCCAATGTGCACAGCTCCCTTCTCAGGTTGAGCACAGCACGATGGGCCCCCTTCAGGAGCTACATGAAACGCGCCGGCGGACAGAGAACAGCACCAGCGCCACCGGAAGGGCTGGGTGGGATTGCGGACAGCGTCCGGGCCTACTCAAGACCGGGTGCGCGAGGCCGTGGCCTCGGGAGTCTGGCGGTGTCTGGAATCAAGGGCTCCCACGAGGGCGCGAAGTTATTCGCGCTTCGCGCTTCGCGGTCCTCGTTCTTTCTCCCCCCTCCTCCTCGTCCTCCTTTTCTCCCTTTGGGGGGGCGGCGCGAGGGCGCGAAGTTATTCGCGCTTCGCGCTTCGCGGAGCGCGAAGCGCGAAGTTGGGAGCCCTAGCCTCGGGATGGGTGGGAGGGGCAGGACGTCACACAAGGCACGAGCGCACCTGGCCTGTTCTCCCCTCCCTCCTCCCTGCCCTCCCTGCCTTCCTCTTACAATTACACAGTATGAGTACTACCAAGGGCTCCCTCGAGGGCGCGAAGTTATTCGCGCTTCGCGCTTCGCGGTCCTCGTTCCTTCTCCCCCTCCTCCTCGTCCTCCTATTCTCCCTTTGGGAGGGCGGCGCGAGAGCGCGAAGTTATTCGCGCTTCGCGCTTCGCGCAGCGCGAAGCGCGAAGTTGGGAGCCCACCTGGGAGGGAGGGCTATTAGGACGCCACCTGGGACGCGAGCGCACCTGGCTGGCCCCTCCCCCCCCCCTCCCCCCCCATCTCCCTCCATCACACCGCCTCCCCTCCGCCTCGGAGCCCCGCGGCGTGTGCCCGCGCGTGCGGCCGGCTCCCGCCCGCCCGCGCTGGCACCCGCCCGCCGGTGCGCACGCGCGCACCTCTGCCGCCGCGCTGCCCGCTCGCCCGCCCCAGGGCAGCCGCGGGCACGGCCCAGCACGCCGCCAGGGCGCCCCCGGCGGTCGAGGGACGGCTCGGCCCGTGAGGGCGCGCGCGCGCCGGCGGGGCACGCGCGGCCGCTGCGGCCAGAGGCCGATCGCCTGCCCGCCCTCGTCGCCCCGCGCTCTCGTCCTCGCCATCGTGCTCCCCGTGCGCCTGCGGCCGACCTCGTCGTCCTCTTCTTCCTCGCCCTGCTTCTCCTCCTGCTTCTCCTCCTCGTCCTCCTCCTCGTCCTCCTTCCTCGTCCTCCTCCTCGTCCTCCTGCTCCTCCCGCCGCCGCTGCTGCTGCTCCTCTTGCTTCTCCTGGGCCCGCTCCCTCGCCCTCGCCCTCGTCGGCCGAGACAGAGCAGGATAGACTCAGAGATGCCAGGCAGCCCGCGCCGCACCGGGTGCCGGCCGCTGCTCGGACCCTGGGGGAAGCGGTGATCCAACGAGAGAGGACGATCGTGGGGCTTCTTCCCTGGGCATGACTGGGGGCTGCGCCGCCCCGGCGCGTCCGCCGCCCAGCCCGTCCTGGAGGCGGCCGTGGGCTGCCGAGCTCCCTCTCCCGCCCCGCTTCGACCCCCAGAAGGACCTCCTCCCTCTGATCCGCGGCTGCGCCTGACCTGGCGCCGCGCGCGCCAGGTGGAGGATCTGGAGAAGGAGGGGGGCAGACACTCATGACGGTTGCCTGCGCGATTGCTTTGCGGCGCCCTCAGCTGCGCGCCCTTTGCTCCTGCGGATGCTGATGCTCTGGCCCCCTGCGCCTCCGCTGCTGAAGCGACGCTCTTCTGCGGGAGTGTCCGTCTCGTTCGGCTCCTCGGGGTTCCCGTCGGAGTGGGATCTTCACCTGGCGATTGACTTCTGAGAGCCTCTCTTTGGTGCGATGCGCCTGCTTCCTGTCCTGGCAGCCCGCCCCAACGGAGCACTCCGCCTTCATTGGGCGCGCATGCATTTGTTTCTATCCTGCTTCACCTCCGCGGAAACCGAATCGATCTACAGTCAAGACGCTGACATTCAGTGAGCACTCGGATTCGGAAGGCGCTCGACTTTCCTTCGGTCCTTCCAGGGCTGTTCTGGTTGCGCTCTTCGTGCGCCCAAGCATCTTACGGGCAACTGGCGGCTCCTCATCCAGCGCGCCGTATGGTGGTAGCTTGACTGCACTTGGAGACCGACATCGGTTGGCTGACACTTTTGTGGGGCCGAGGCTGTCGACGGGCTCAGCCTTCTGGCCGGCTTCTGGCAGCTCATGAATGCGACACCCGATTTTGCCGGTCTTGACGCGCGGCATCCATGGTGAGCAAACGACGTTGTCCATCAATCTGATCCAGCCGGACACGTTGTCCTTGGATGTCGACGTAGACGGTGTGGTCAGTGTGCCAGACGGCCGCCTGGTTTGCAATCAACCCAATGCTGCCCTCAACGCAGTCACGCTTCCGTCCTGAGCTATCGCTTTTACTTCGAGCACCCGCTTGCCGATGTACTCGGTGTTCTGAGCAATGGCGATGTTCAGCTGGGCACTGCGGTCTTCAACCTTTCCCTCAGAGCCTGATTTCGGCAAGTATCACACGCGTGCGGCACTTTCTCGATCCAGAGTTCATGGCTGTCCCAATGCTTCTCGTGGGCGTTCTTCACCAGGCGCTGGTCTGGGTGGGCCGCTGCGCGCCAGCCCTTGCTTGAGGCCTCGCCTTGCGCGCCACAGGCTCGGCGCCTCGCTTCGCTGGCTCGCGTTGGACAAGCTTCGCCTTGGGCTTCCCGTCGAAGCCGAGGGCCTCGCATGCAGAGGTGCACTCTCCTCGAACTGCGCAGACGCGCCATGCCTGCTACGGGCACCATTGCCAGAGATGTTCCGGACGTGGTCGTCCGAGGCTGCAGAGCGCGCCGCCTCCACAGCTGTCACGTGCAGGAGCCGCTCGGTCAAGACTCTGCGCGTCTCCCAGCCGGCCTACACCCTGGGCGATGCTGAAGAAAACTTACGTTTGTCGGCCAGAGTCTCGATTATTCTTTAATGTTCCAATGTACATCCTAAGATTTTGATGGAACTTCTGGGTTTTTATTCCAATTCTGAGACTATGAATTTCTTAACCCATGAGTTCTAAAGCATTTCGCAGGGTGTACCGCAGCGAGCCCTACCGCCATCTGCCACGTCTGGCTTCTCGGCCTGCCCCAGGGGCAAGGGCGCCGGGCCGCGCGCGCGGCACGGGAGAAACCGCAGCCAGGAGCCGAAGTGGCGAAGGATGGGCAAGGGTGGGGAAGAGGGATTTGCTTCGGTGATTTCCGTCAGCGCTTTTTGTCCCAAAAATCCCGCGCCCTCCCAGTGTCCTTTCGCCTTCCCACGCCACTCTCTCTCTCTCTCTCTCTCCCGCTTCCGTTTCTCACTTCCTGAGAGCTGGCGCGGCGCGCCCCTGAAAAAAGTGCTGACGCTCTGACGCTTTTGACGCTCCTGACGCTCTTGACGCTCCTGACGCTCCTGACGCTCCAGGCGTCAGAGCGTCAGGAGCGCCAGGAGCGTCAGGGGCGTCAGGGGCGTCAGGATCGTCAGAGCGTCAAGAGCGTCAGGAGCGTCAAGAGCGTCAGGGGCGTCAGGAGCGTCAGGGAGCGTCAGGGAGCGTCAGGGAGCGTCGGGGGCGCGGGGGGGCGTCAGGAGCGTCAGGAGCATCAGAGCGTCAGGAGCGTCAGGGGCGTCTGCCAGGAGCGTCAGAGCGTCAGGAGCGTCAGGGGCGTCAGGGGCGTCCACCACTTCGGCGCCGCCGCTCGAGACATCCTCACAATTCTGGCGCCGCCGTTCGAGACGTCCTCACAACTCTGGCGCCGCCGCTCGAAACAGCCGCTCGAGACATCCTCACAACTCCGGCGCCGCCGCTCGAAACATCTTGACAACTCCAGCGCTGCCGCTCGAGACATCCTCACAACTCCGGCGCCGCCGCTCGAGCGTCAGGAGCGTCAGGGGCGTCAAGAGCGTCAGGAGCGTCAGAGCGTCAAGTGCGTCAGGAGCGTCAAGAGCGTCAGGAGCGTCAGGAGCGTCATGGAGCGTCAGGAAGCGTGAGGGAGTGTCGGGGACGCCAGGAGCGTCAGGAACGTCAGGAGCGTCAGAGCGTCAGGGGCGTCAGGCGCGTCAGGAGCGTCAGGAGCGTCAGGAGCGTCAGGAGCGTCAGGAGCGTCAGGAGCGTCAGGAGCGTCAAGAGAGTCAGGAGCGTCAGGGGCGTCCACAACTCGGCGCCGCCGCTCGAGACATCCTCACAGCTCCAGCGCCGCCGTTCGAGACATCCTCACAACTCCAGCGCCGCCGCTCGAGACATCCTCACAACTTCGGCGCCGCCGCTCTAGACATCCTCACAACTCCGGCGCCGCCGATCGAGACATCCTGACAACTCCGGCGCCGCCGCTCGAGCGTCAGGAGCGTCAAGGGCGTCAGGAGCGTCAGGGGCGTCAGGAGCGTCAGGAGCGTCAGAGCGTCAGGAGCGTCAGGAGAGCCAAGGGTGTCAGGGACGTCCACAACTCTGGCGCCGCCGTTCGAGACATCCTCGCAACTCCGGCGCCGCCGCTCGAGTCATCCTCGCAACTCCGGCGCCGCCGCTTGAAACGTCCTCACAATTCGGGCGCCGCCGCTCGAGACATCCTCACAACTCTGGCGCCACCGCTCGAGAGGGAAGGGAAAACTGAGGGAGCTTCACGGAAGGAGTGAGGAGGAGGAAGGGGATTGGGGAGGAGGACGAAGGGTAAGGAGCGGATGGGGACACTTTTAGCCCAAACTCTCGATCGACACATTTGGCACGTTACGCGATTTGCATCAGAGCACGCCGTGAGGATGTCCCGTACGACGCGCTCGATTGACATCCCCGACTCCTCTGCATTCAGAGCACCACTCGGGGGCCCTCGTCGTTACGGCTGGATTCGCTTTTAGCTTACACCACATAGCTTCACCACGGTGGGCGCGGCCCTTGGCGGCCAATATCCGGTCCTATTGGCTGACATCGGGTGCTATTTGCTGCTGTCGGCTCCCGGCGGCTACATTCGGCTGCTATACGAGATTGCAGGCTCACATCAGAACTACCCGATTGTTAAACCCAGGGTGATGAAGGGGGAAGAAATAAGGAGCATCCCCATCTATCCTCCTCTTCTTCCTCCGGTTTTCCTGCTCACGCCATTCCCTATCCCGTTATTCATTATTATCATGCTGCTCTACGTGTTCCACCTAGCCCTCCTCGTCTTTTTCCCTGTTGCTTTTCATCATCGCCCTTTTCGGATATTCCTCCTCGTGCTGCTCCTCGTCCTCACCTCGGCATAATGCTACTCGTCCTTCCCTCCTCTTGCTTCTCATGCTGTCTTCCGCATCTCTTCGCCCCCCCCATCGTTTTACTCGTGTTGCTCTTCTCCCTTTGTCTCCTGCTTGTTCTCCTCTCCGAAGCGGGGGCTCAAGATGGCACGATCTCGGCGCGAGGGCGCTGCAGATTGTCCGCGTTGCACCACGTGCCGTGCCGAGGACGAACGCCCCGCGTGTTCAGAGTACGGCGGGGAGTCAAGACCGGGCCGATGGGACCGCCAGAGCGTCTGCCCCCCGAGCGTCTCCACCAGAACGAACAGGTCCGCCAGGCTCCCCCCCCTTCTCCTCCTCCTCCTCCTCCTCCTCCACCTCCTCCTCCTCTGTCCTCCTCCTCCTCCTCCTCCTCCTCCTCCTCCTCCTCCTCCTCCTCCTCCTCCTCCTCTCCTCCTCCTCCTCCTCCTCCTCCAGCGAGCGTGGAAGCCACGTCGGGTTCGGATTGTTCCAAGGTTGACAGCGAGCCAGACCAGGAACTCGATGAGGACACCCGGGAGCCTACGTCATGGACGGGCATATCCTACCAGGGAGACGGCAGTGAGAAGTATTTGGTAGGAGCGAAGTGGTGTCCGAAGACCTTGGCAGCGCTTCTGACCAGATCGCTGTCCGCATGGGCTTCACAAACAAGTATTTGTTCCGCGCGTTTTTTTCTACTTCTACTGCCTGTTAGCCGTGGTCCAGCCGGACGTGTTGATGCCAACGGAAGCCCCGGATCGCGTGGAGTTTGGGCAAGAGCGCGCTTCGTCGCTGCATCGAGCTATTGTATCGCGCGCGCGCCCTTTGTAGGCAGGCAGCCTCGCCTGGACGCGGCGTTCAGGTGGCGCGCGTTTTGCGGTCAGCATCTATCGACGCATTTTCCGTTCGACGCTGGCGGCTGAGGCTCGCTTGGTTGATTGGCCGGCGCGCAATATTGCACGCTTCGATACACGGTTACGCTGGGGATGCCCCCTTAGGGTCTTGATGCGGCAAATTCGGCAAAATTTGCTTTCTTAGCTTCCCGAGATGGTATCTCCTTTTTCAAGCTAGATTAACTCGGTCGTTCTTGTTTCCGCTGTGTAAAGTGGTTCGTATGAGAAGTTTGGGGAAGGCCTCTGGTATTTCTGGAATGTCAGCCGAAATATATCGACCCCCCCCGCGCGCTGGTTTTCGCGAGCCCGCTCCAACGAAACCAATATACATCAGAAAAAATCAAGACGACGAAGCCACATCATCAGCAAAACCGCACCATTCTGAAAAGCTCAAACGACCGTCTTCGACAAGTTAACCAGCGGCGCCGCGCGACCCTCACTCCTCGCCGCCCCTTTTCCTCATCCCCTCTTATGTCCCCCCCCCTTGTCTCGGCGTCGCCCTTGTTCGGCGCGCCCATCGCGCGTTTCGTGCCCCTTCGCGGAGCTCAATCCCTTGCAGCCCCAGTGGAGGTGTTCGCATAGCACCGCCGCGCCCATGTCGGCACGCCTCTCGCGCGCCTCGCATCCCGCAGGGCGCCCTTCCCACGCCCCCAATAATGGAGATGTTCGCGCGGGGCCGCCGCGTCCGTTTCGGCGCACCCCTCGCGCGGCTCGTGCCCATTCGGAGTTTCGCTTGTGGCCCCAGTGGAAGCGCTCGCGCGGAGCCGCCGCGCGCATGTCGGCGACCCCCATCGTGCGTTTCGTGCCCAGTGACCAGTGGCGAGCTCCACTTATAGCTCCAGCGTGACTTTGCGGCGCCGCGGCACCCATATCGGCGCGCCTCTCGCGCAGCTTGCGCCTCGCAGGGAGCTCCACCCACGGCCCAGTGGAGGCGCTCGCACGGCGCCGCCGCGCCCGCGTCGGCGCGCCCGTCGCGCGCGCGCCCCACGGAAAACAGTTTGGGGCGGTTCGGGGGCGGGGGGGAGGGGAGAGGGATGCGGGGCGGAGGAGCGGGGAATTGCGCGCGCCGGCGCGCGCGTCAGTTGTCGCGCGGGGACCGCGCAGACGAGAGGGGAGGGCGCGGGCGTGGATGGGGGACGCAGGAGGGGGGGCGAGAGAAGGCATGAGGTAGGAAGATTGAACAGGCAGGATAGGAGGGAGGCGATGAGGAGTAGTACTCATCATAATGGCCACGATGATACTGACGAGGATGCGAGAGGGACGACGAGGGGAACCTTATTGTGTGGAGGGGCGCCCGCATGGCGCACCCGCGCAAAATCCGACGCGCGCGCGCGGGCGCGCGCGTCGTGCGTCTCGCGCCGCATAGGGAATTCCACCGACGGCTTGGTCTGGGGGGGGGGCTCTATGGACCGTGGAGTCTGAGGCCTTTGGGGGCACGGGCTTCGAGGTGCATCTTCGGGCTCTGGGGCCCGGGGCTTCTGGGGAGCGGGGGGCCTTCTGTGGGCTCGCGGGCGCCGCTCCCCAGGGTACACGGAGCTTCTTGGGGCGCGGTCTTGGGGGCCCCAGGGCCATATCCGGGGTCGTCTCCTGGGCCGCATGGCCATCTAGGGCATCCGACGGGGGCCCCCGACGCCGTCGCGGCCCAAGCAAATTCTCTGCAGAGTGTTAGATCCGCTTGCCGGCGACCAGCGCCGACGCCACAACGACGCGCCACCGCCGCCTTGCAGATGGACGCTGGACAGTCCCCAGAGCAGATAAAAACAGGCGTTCGGCACATGCCGCGCCGCCCACGTCACGACGAAGCTCGGTCGGCGTGCTGCCAGTTGGCTTCAAGAGGCGCGACGTCGTCTGGGCCCCGCTCGCGATCGACGCGAGCAGCAAGGACGTCGACAGCAGGAAGGACGACGTCGACGTCGACAGTCTACTTCAGCGGCTGGCCGAAAGAGAACCACAGGAGGAGGGGCCGAAGGTTGCGTCGCACAGCGCGCCGGCCGTGCCCGCGCACATCGAGATCCCCAGCGACGACGAGGGCGACGTGAACAGCCGCGGTTGCCAGGCAGATGCCGTGGCCCCGCAGCCTGCGGCCCCGGCGGTTGGCGACAAAAAGAAGACGCCCCCGAAGAGGGCGGCGCGGCCTAGCCAGACGCTCAACCAGAATCGGAGCTCCCGCATCCTCGGGCAGAAGGTGACCCTGGCGCGGGAGCCGGCCAGGCAGAAGGAGGCA